TCAAGCCATACTGAGGGTCTCAACTGCTTCCGCTCTAAAGCCAAATGTGGTTCAGATTTGTGAGAAGAAGCGCTGTCAAGTCTCTGGCAGCAAGAAGTAGGCAAAATATGCCCTGTTCAGAAGAACTGTTCATAATCTTCACTCAATGTTCTAATAATGTTCAGGACACTTCATGTTCAGAAGAAATAATTAAAACTGTTAATAATGACATTTTAGGACTTTTTTTTTGTGAAATCCCTTATGCGGCCCAGCCTTACCCAGACTTTGCCTCCGGCGGCCCCCAGGTAAATTGAGTTTGAGACCCCTGCTCTAACGCATTCTTTAACATTTACCTAGCTTCTATGATTTTCATCTGAATCACTGTACTTTACTACAAATAAATGATATAGCTGACTTTGAGAAAGATGAAACAAACATTTGTATTGCCTTTAAATACAAACAAATTCTCTAAAGTCAATTATTTCTTCAAATTGTTACTGCTTTTTACTTTTTATCTTATCTGTTCAATGTGCCTATATTGTAAGCATATTTTAAACATCTAATTTTATCTATGAAACAGTGGACTTATATTTTCTATTTCTATTTTATTCTTTTTCCTTTCCGTAATTTGAGTTTTTAGCTCTTAGGTTTTCTTATACATTTCTTAAACATTTTAAAGCTTACACATTTTATAATTAAATGTTCAGTTAATCAATATTCATTTTTCAAGTTTTCTTTTTCTTTCTTATTCTCATTTAAAGAACTAACTTATATGTTAGTCATTCATACTTATTTAGTAAATCTATTTGTTTATTAATACATTCTTTTACTCCATACTTCCTTTATCTCTCTATATATTGATCACTATGGCTTCATTTATTCTTCTTCATTAATAGTTTCAAACTCTTTTCTATATAATATAACTCTATCATTAGTATTTCCGCATTTCATTTATCTTACTATACTACTTTATAATATATCTATTCAGTAATAACTTATATCCACAATTATGTTAAAGTCTATGTACTTATTTTATCTATAGTTTGATCTCCTCTCTTTTACTCTCCTCATCTCTGTTTCCCTAGTGCTGTAAATAGACATAATCTATTTATTTTTCACACATGGACACCATAAATCTCTCTCTTACCCCCATCCTGGGGCAGACTGTCTTTTACCTGTTGCTATGTAAAGAATTTAATTCTATTCTGCCTATTGTTCTTTTTAACATATAACTTAAAACACAAAGATAATTTCAGAAAAATGTTTAACTAGTATATTCTTCTGCCTTTTCACTCTGTGTCTTTCAAATGCAACATGTTCCATTAGTTTTAATTTAGGAGACTCCTCCTTTATATTATAATCGCTTCTCTTAAACTACATCAATTACTTTTCTTCCTGCTCTTTAATTCACACCACAAATATGCAGCTCTCCTTTTATATAATCTACTACAATCAATCTTTTAACCTACTCTTTTTTTTAACAGACTTTTAAACACATTCACGCTTATAATCTTATTACTTTTCCTCTTCTCATTCACTCCTCTCCTCCACTTAGAGTAACAGGAGCTGCATCCCCAATCCTCATTCCATTCAAGGAGGAGGAAGGCAGTCTTCTCTGCACACTAATGTGGACTATTTTGCCACAACCTGAAGCAACAAATACACAAACACTACAATTAAATAAATACTCTACACTACACTCCTCTTGAGTGACCTGTCCGAGCAGGCACATGCACACATAGGGCTCAACCTGTGCAGTGCACATGCCCTTTTTAGTCTTGAATAGAAAGTGCCCTTCCAAAATGATCAAAAGTGCCCCCGCGACGCGGCACACCTTCGGTCCCGCCCTTCAGTAGGCGCGCAACAACACCGCTCTTGAGTACGCGCGCGACAACACAGCTGATCAGTACGCGCGCGACAACACAGCTGATCAGTACGCGCGCGATAACACCGCTCTTCAGTACGCGCGCATCCACTCTGCACATGCCCTTTGGACGGTCTCTGCACGGGCCTGTGTCCGAGCAGCCTCTAACCTTAGAGCGGTAACCACAGGTTCCCTGCCTACCCATGTAGCCCTCTGCTTCTACTTTAACAGAGCGGTATCATAGGTCTTTGCGCGCATCTCTCTACTTTAATCTGCTTTAATCTCTTAACTGTTACCACACATTAAGGACTCTCTCTTGAAACTTATAAATGCTCTATGCATATCTTACATCATTATTAATTTCCCAAATCTGGGTAACAGTTACTAGTTAATGTTTATCCTATCCATCAAGGCCCACTTAGGAAAACACAGATCATTTGCATACCTTACTCTGCTTTAATCTTTTAACTGACACCACACATTAAGGACTCTCTCTTAAAACTTATAAATGCTCTATGCATATCTTACATAATTAATAATTTCCCAAATCTGGGTAACAGTTACTAGTTAATGTTTATCCTATCCATCAAGGCCCACTTAGGAAAACACAGATCATTTGCATGCAAATTAATCTTTTTCTTCTGTTATTCAAAAGCCCTTTTTTCTTTAATATCTTTTTACATTTACAACATTTTTTACAAGTTCTTCAAAGCTGGAGAAACAGTTCAAGTGTATTTACCCGTTACAAGCAGGTCCTGGCAGAAAAAACACAAACTAATAAGCATAAAATCGCTTACCATTTTTTATCGTGGCCACATATTTGTGTTTTCTCTCCAGTCCAGCATGCACAGTAACACCAGTCCTGCTCCTTTCCAGCCCATCCAGAGGGACACCAAATGTAGTGGTTTTCTTGGTTTTTCTCTTACTAAATCAAACTCAGTCTGGAGGTTATGAATATCAGAAGAATATACTTTATTGTCGACAACAAAGGAGAACTTTCAGGAGACCCCCAGTAGCATCTCTGTCTGAAAAATTCTGTCTCACTCCTGTTCTGGCCTTACTTAAATACCCTTTTACATTCGTTGTTTTCCTTTGTTCTCCATATATTACACAAGATCCCTCCTAGTTTAGACCCTGACCCCAAATTCCACCTCTGACATCTGTTTCCTGAAACACCTCAGGCTTTTTTACCACTCTCTTTTCATCCCTTTTTTATGACCTTTAGTTGTTTCCTCAGGCCATTTCCCCTTTCTAACTCTTCATAACACTTTAATTGTTTTAATGGTATGCAAGTCTACAAGCAGATTATACATATATAATTTGAATATATAGATTAGCTTCACACTTTAAAGAGTATAAAATCCACCTCACGTGCGGCCACACATCGAATCTATGAGGTCTGATCTCATCTCGCTCTAGCTGTCATGCAGACATTGATACAGACGCCACACGAGTCAAGTCTCAAAACTGAGGCTGGTACCAGCTGACAGAATAGCTGAAGCCTTTGCGAAATCTGTGAAAATACAGCACTGAAACTAGCAGGCATAAATATCTTTGAGCCAAAAAGTCTTTTTGTAGGATAGCTGTATAAACGCAATTAGAGCTGATATTATGTAGAAGTTAAGTCGCCTAATAATTAGGCTATATTAATTCTAATAAAATGAAAACCAAAATAAACAATTTATTACGTTTTTAGTTTATTAAAAAATATAAAGAAACAAAAAAAAATTAAATCTAGTTTGTATTAATGTGTTTTATAATATTAATAAAAATATGCTCAGCCTATTTAAGCTTAACAGCTATATACATCGCCAATAGACGAGCATTCAAAAATATTATTTTACTGTGTACTGGATTAGGAATTATAATGTATATTTTACAATAAAAACTAAATGTAGCATGTCTCGCTGTCATTTAAAAATGTGAAACCCTCGATACACAAATGTATTATAAGCTTTTAATCAATGGACCAGATGCTCAAAAGTCTAAATTCCTCCAAAGAGAGAGAATATACAACAACAGTGAAGAACTCTAACACAGAGGTAAGAATAATAAAAGATTGTATTGTAAAATGTTCACAGAAATATATAAAAAAATAAATAAAAATGAATAAAACAAATTTTTTTTTTTCACACTTATCTAATGACCTCAATCTTATTTACACTCTCTAATAACACTTCTCTTTCTTCACAGGGTTTTATGGCTATATCACTAATAAGGTAAGTTAATATTATGTTATTTTTCAGTTTTTCTATTGTTAAGGGCTAATATTATATTTTGGTTACTATTATAACAATAATATAATACTAATATACTAATAACAATACTATATTAAAGGTTTGTAAGTGTAAGTTAATAATACAATATTAAAATTGTATTATTATTTAACATATAATCAAGATTTCCCTTCTTAAAACAATTAACTTCTCTCTATAAAGCTTCAAAAATTGCAACGAATGAACACTCTAAAGGAACAATGTACAAATAAAATAAAAATGAAAATAAAACATTCACTTAAAACATTTCAAAATGTTCCAAAAGTCCAGTAAAGGTGATAAACTTTCAAAAAGATTCTTTTGCAAAACGACTAGGTTGCAAATTCAGTTCCAGAGATCCAGGACGTTGCAAGTGTGTTGTAAATTTACACTCCTACCATGACGCTGAATAGGTTTTACTTTGTATCTTTCCAACAGGTGTATCCAAAGAATCCACTAAATGGGAGGCTCGCCAGTCCAACTCCACAATTAGACACGCACCGATGGAAGTTGAGACAATCCAAATCCAGAAAAGAGTTCAAACTTCAATTAATTCGAATCCAGAGCAGATCACATCCAGCAACTGACGTCAATAGAACATCTCACCGATGAAAAAACAGAAGAAGATGCACAAACGAACAAAACCAAGCAAAAAAAAAAAAAAACCTGGCCAAGGAAATCATTCAAAATCAAAACGAAACAAACAGGAAAACTCCAGGTGGCACTCGTGTGCAGATTTCACTCTCAGAGACAAATCTTGTTTTTTTCTTCTCTCAATCATCTCTGCTTTCCCTTGCGAACACTGAATCACCATAGCAACGGTAAACACAAGCTAACAGACAAGCGAGATTTGTTATTGTTTGGAAAGCTGATCTGCTGCTATAGTGTAAGGCACGATGATGTCATTCTAAAGCACTATTCCCTCGAATGCTGTATAATACTCTTTTATAAATTATTTATATAAGTAAATAATTTTAATGTATATCATTTAATAGAGTATTCTGCCAATGTTTTTTCCTCATATTTCTATTTGCTCTATTGCTGTATACTACCCACTAGTAACCTGGGTTACACATTCCCCCCCTGAATTCAGGCACGTCCTCGGGCATGTACGGGGTTGGGTTGTCACTGCAATTGTTAAAGGGTCTGGCACAACAAAGGGCTGATCTCTAGTGAGTATGGGTTCTTCTAACAATGTGGTAAAGGCAGAACTCAGACCTTGTAGTAAGGACTGAATGACTAGTGTCAAGGGATTCCCTAGTTTATGATATTCAAGCTTATTAGGAGGTCTACATTGCCTTTTTGAGCGTCTAAGGCCACTGGTATCTAGGTCTTCATACACTATTGGCAGGTTACTTGAAACATTTCTGACATGTGGATTTTGATTATTAGAATGGGATACATCAACAGGATTTAATTCAAGCGCCCTTCTATGGATCTGTTCTTCAACACTATTTCCACGTCTTTCAGGTTCAATTTCTTTGGGGTCAATATCAGCAGGGTTCAGCACAGGTAAGAAATTCTCATTGACATAATCTCTTTGATTTTCTGTTAAGTCTAAAAAAACTAGAACTAGAACTAAAACTAGAAGGTTTTTCATTCCGCTGTAAACAATCGATAATGAATTTGAGATCAGGATCCATTCTCTGCTGTCTCTTTAACTCCTCATTGGACAGGTAAGTAATGACTGGAAGACCATGCTCATTTTCTTGTTCAAACTCATTTGGTAATACATCTGCATGCAGGGCTAAGGACTCAACAAGGGCAATGGAAGGGTTGGAAAATTTGCATTTATCTGAGGAACTTCCTATCTGATGTCGATCACAGATGGCTTTTATGGCCTCTAAGAGGATAAGAGAATCTTCAACTCCAAATTCATCTAAATGATGAAGGGTAAACTGTTTAATTCTCTCTCTCTCTTTCTGAGATGCAGGGTCATCTAAAAGCTCACCATGTGGTCATCTTGAAAGGCCATCTGCATCACAGTTTTGACTTCCAGCCCTATACTGGAGCTTGAAATTGTAAGTGGACAGACTTGACAACTAGCGATAACTGGTAGCATCAAGCTTTGCAGATGTCATAATGTAAGTTAAAGAGTTGCTATCAGTTACGACCACAAATTCTGTTCCATACAAATAGTCACTGAATTTAGATGTGACTGCCCATTTAAGAGCTAGAAATTCTAGCTTGTGAGCTGGATACCGGGTTTCACTTCTTGTCAACCCTCTGCTTGCAAAAGCAATGACCTGCATTTGTCCCTCTTGTTTCTGGTATAAGGCTGCCCCGAGCCCAGTGATACTGGTGTCAGTATGCAGAACATAAGGAAGCTTTGGGTCTGCAAATCCCAGAACAGGTGCAGAGGTGAGTTTCTCAATGATCATGTCAAAGGCCTGTTGACAGGGCTGATTCCATCTGTCTCCGAACTCCTTTTTGGGGTCCAGATATTGCTTATTCTTGTTTTCTTGTAGGTGACGTTTTTGAAGAGGTGGATACCCTACTGTGAGGTCATTAAGGGGTTTGATTATCTTGGAATAATCCTGAATGAACCTTCTGTAGTATCCAGAAAATCCCAGAAAAGATCTTAATTCTTTGAGATTTCTAGGTCTTGGCCAGGTTTTTAGGGCCTCGATTTTCACTGGATCAGTCTCCACTCCATTTTCTGATACAATATGACCAAGGTATCGAACAGAAGTCTGGAAAAACTTGCACTTTTCAGGCGATAGCTTCAGTCCCTATTCTTTGAGCCTTTTTAAAACGTGCATCAGCCTTGATTCATGCTCTTCTAAACTTTCAGAGAAAATGATCAGATCATCGATGAAGACCAACACCTCTTTCCTATTCAAGTCACCCATGCATATTTCCATCAGCCTTTGAAACGTACTTGGGGCATTGCTAATATCTTGGGGCATCCTATTGAACTCCCAGAACCCCAAGGGACACACAAAGGCAGTTTTACTTTTGTCAGCTTCCTTCATCTCAATCTGATAATATCCTGATTTTAAGTCAAGGACAGAGAACCATTTCGAACCAGTCAGTACTGAAAAGACCTCTCCAGATGTGGCAGGGCATATGCATCTTTAATGGTTTGTGAATTCAGCTTTCTGAAGTCAATGCAAAGACGTACAAAATTGTCTTTCTTTCTTACAACTACTATGGGGGAGGCGAAGGGGGATTCTGACTCTCGGATAATTCCAGCAGCTAACAAGTCTTGCAAATGTTTTTGTACTGCATCAGTGTCCTGAGGATGTATGGGTCGAGGTCTGTGTTTGAAAGGAGTCTTATCATTAAGCTTTATTCGGTGAGTGACTTTGTTTGTATGTCCATAATCTAAGTCATGCAAGGCGAAGACTTCAGGCATGGAATTTAACTGATCCATTATTCGTTTCTTCCATTCAGGTGTCAATGGGGAATTTTCAAAGTCAAATTTGAGATTGGAACAAGCAGAAAGTTCTTTATTCACAGTGCTGGAATTTACTTGCCCACTCTTTATTACTTCTTGGACTGCCCGCATTTCAGCAATTATAGTTCTGGGATAGATGGTAATGTCGGTCTGAGTTTCATTCCGTAACACAACTGGTAACTGTTGATGCCTTTTGCTGGGTAAGGAATGCAAACAGCTGGCAACTAGCAAACCACCAGGTAAAGCGGGTGAAGTTGGTGACTCTAGAGCTACACATTTCCCTACATGAGGACAATTAACTAGAACATGTCCATCAAGAACCACTGTACATCCTGCAGGTACTACCTCTGGAACATGTCCCTTGAATTTGATACAGCCCACTAAATCAGCACTTGCTTGTTTGTATCTTGCTTCCAAAACGTTTTGCACTGTAGATAACAATGGAAGTTAGATTGAGGAAAGGAAGCAGATTGTTGGACATAGTTACTGTAAAGAGCATCTAATAAATTTGTTCCAATTAGAACTTGGGGAGTGTTCATCAAATCTGAGACTACCAGGGCTAAAGTGGGCACTTCTGTCTCTGTTCCAAGGAACTCTTTGGGGAAACTTAAGAGTCAATTCCACATATCCAAGATAAGGCACTGTTTGACCATTTGCCCCTTCCACTTCCAGCAAGTTATCCAATGATTTAAGTGGACAATTTGATAAATTCTCTTGATAAAATGACCAGGGAACAGTAGTTACTTGGGACCCTGTGTCCAGAAGGCAGGAAACTCTTTTATTACCAACAGTTATTTGGGCAGTACACTTCACTCCCACTAATCCTCTTGGTAAATTTCTCAAAGGGGGTGCGTCACATGCATTTTGGCTGAACAACTGTTTACGTTTCTCAGGGCAATTATTATTTTTTTTAGTCTCTGTATGCCCCTCTACAGAGACCATTCTCAGTTTAAAGGATTCATAGTTGCAACTTATTGGGTATCCCACTGGGCTTGTCGCTCCCTTAACGTGCGTTTTTTCTCAGCAACTTTAGTAGGGTCAGGAGCATTATTACAGCTTGTGGCAAGATTACCATTTTCCCCACATCTAAAACAATACCCCTGACGAGGTCTACTTTCAGGTAGTTTACTAGCTCTGTAACAATCTGTTGCTCCAGGTTCAGGCAGCAAGTTTCTGGTGCAGTTTCTATACATATCAGGGGCAGTCAGTTGAACCTTTAAATCAGCAATCTGTCTCTTTAAGTCAGCAATTTCAGTTGCTTCTACATCACTTTTAATTTTTGGATTGGCTGTAGTTTGCATGGCTGTAATCTGTGCCTGTAACTCAGTGACAACATTTCTCAGCTCACTCACTTCATCTGGTTTTGCATTTTTTTCTTTTCTTTCTGGCTTGAATGGTTTTGCAGTGCAACAACTTGAGTTTGGAGTTCACACACTTGCTTTGCGAGAAATGTATCAGTTTGATCATCCTGCATTTCACATTGGTGGGCATATATCTGGTGAGCTGACAGTCTGAATTTTGAGGGGGCAGGATAGTGTTTATTTAGCCCTAAATTTTTTCTCATTCTTTCTTCTTTAGAGGCATTTTTATCTTCTTCTGTACGGATGAGAACTACTAATTCTGCAAATGAAGGAGGAGTGGCTTTTCTTCTTTTCTAATTGAAGGTCAGCAATGAGGGAACTGTCCCAACAGCCGCGACAAAACTGCTTTAGAAGATATCGGTTTCTCTCTTCTTCAAATATCCCACCTCGTCGAATAGCTGTGCTTAAGAGAACTTGTAATCTGTGCAGGTAAGTTGAAGGCTTCTCACCATTGTTTTGGAAGCTATTCATAAATCTGGCTAATAACTCATCTCCATCTTCTACAGAGCCATATACAGACTCCAGCAATTCCAGATATACTGCAGGTAAACTGTTCGGTGGGACATGTTTAACAATAATTGCAGCAGGGGGAAGCAGACTGTCTATGATTTTTCTGCCTCGATTTAAGTCAGATATAGAAGGATCTGTCAGTAGGAGATCAACACTGGCATGCCAAGTGTTACAGTCTGGCTCATTAACAGGTCTAGGAAGTTTTCCAGAGAAAGATCGGAGGCGAAAAGAGGTATGGTGCATTGGAGCTGTGTCATTTGTGCGGACAATGTGCTCAACTATTACCTAGGAGGTAACTAGATTAACTAGGAGAATCAATTATATCCATAGTAAGTGCTGGATGGGATGACACTGTTACTGTGGGTTTAGTACTTCTATGGTTAAGGCTTTCCTTGGACAGGTTTTTTGAATTTGTTGATTCAACTTCATGAAATGGTGAAATTCTAGATGAAGGAAAAGCTGTTTGTTCAGTAATCATTCTTTGTGATATGACTGGGGACAGCAGTCTATTTGGTGAACTGACTGTGCTACAATTAAGTATTTGAGAACGTGCTGCATTTGGAAATTCAAGCTTTTTATCCAAAACAGGTAGTGACTCAGCATGAGAAGGGCCAAATTTCATCTTCAGTAACTCTGTTTGAAGTACTTCCTCAATCGATTTCCCACTAAAACTAGCAATGTTTTGCAATTCCTCCAGATATCCATTAGTAGCACTATCACTAGCAATATGGGGGTAGACGCAACTTAAAGCACGTACCACAAAAGTGGTACTTGGGTTTGACATACTAACTACAGTTAAAGGCAAAAGGGGCATCAATAGCTGCTTTTCCACTATCGTGCCAAACCGTTCTAAGAACACTTCGGTACGGTTACGGTTGTTTCTCCACTGAGCCTGGAACGGCGCGGCACGATTACAAACCGTTCTTGGCCCGGAATTTTCGGCACGGTTAGACAACCGTGCTGAACTGTGCTGACAGATTCTGTGTGTTGACGTCGCGACTCGGTTGCTAAGCTACCACAGCTGGCTCAGCAGAAGCGCGCTAGTCATCAGACATCCTCAATAAACTACAGTACATTTAATATAAAATAATGATCCAGGTCTAAACGATATTTGAAAAGGATTTTAAAACCATAGAGCAGTCTCTGGAAGAGAAGTGAATAACTCATCACATTCTTACGAAGATATTTTATTCATTAAAGTTATTATTTTATTGACTTGAATACAGACCTACATCGCTTGCCTGAATGTGAGTTTATTGCACGCAGCGCTGTATTCCACAGCACAAAACTCTCTCTGATCCGGGAGAGACATGCAAGCGACTTGCGCTGCTGACTTTTTTTTCCTGCTGCGCATCGAATAAAGCGAATAAAGTCACGCTTTGCATCGTCGATGTCCAAATTCCACAACAACATCACTATATCCATGGAACACGAACTTGCAGACTCTTTTAACAACGAGGAAATAATTGCACTTTTAAATTCAAAGCCAGGACAGCTTGTTAATACCGGCGAGACCACCTTAAGGACGGTATGTTCGTGTTGTAATGTCGGCCGTCCAAAAGACTTTGCTTGAAAGCTTTACGGAGCGGCACTGTAACTGTCCAAGGTACTGTTGTATGATTTATATTATAGCATATGCACTAATAAACAAGTCAAAAGAATGAATGAATTAAATAAATATGGATTCTTAAATGTCAGTATTGCTTTTACTTAAAAAATATCAATACGTTTTTACAAATGTTTTATAAAAATAAAATGAGCAATTTTTATCATTTCAGCTATAGGCAATTATATGATTCAATTATACATAAGTTATATGACATTTATGAGGCATGTAACATGTTTCTGTGTTTTTTTTTTTTTTGTGGTGATCTTTAATATAGCTACGCAAATATTTTCTAAAACGTCTAGCAATAATTCGCCTACAGCTTGTTAGTTAATTATGAACACAAAAATAATTATAATAATAAAAATAAAATGATCAAAATAAAAAGATAATAGAGCATCATTTTGCTAAATATAATAGTGCTTTATATGCTTTAAATCCTGCGATATATTTTCATATTCGTTTTTTTTTCACTTGCTGCATTCGTTATTTAATGTTTGAATAGTAAAACAAATAACAGCCATCGCTTAATTGGTTTCATTTTACCATCAAAATGTAGTATATTTTATATCATTATCAACTTTTTATATAAAAACGCAGTGTAATTTAATTAATTGTTAAAAATGAAATTATTTTTTTAGTGTTTTTATTAGTGAAAGTGCCCGCTCACCTTTGACAAGGCCTGTCCAAAATTATATTTCTGCCACTATAATGCAAATGCATTATTATTGTTGTCTTATCATTGTTTATTTTTCTGTTATGTTCAGAGATTTTAAATATTATTTATTTCCCCTCCAATTATTTTCAATCATCACGTTACATTTTGGTAATTTTCCCTCCAAATAAAATTTAGCCAGAGCTGCGCAACATATGAATAAATAAGGGTGCACATGTACCTATATTTAGCACCCCTATATGATAGTGCGGCATAACAGTGTTTAGTCACATGGTTGCTTTTGCTTTTATGAAAAAAATAAATAAATAGTTTCGGCTCTTATTTAACTTTAATTGAACAAAGGGAGCCGTTTACATTGCGTTACCAAGGCAACTACTGATGCGTTTTGTGTAATGTTTTAAAGAGCTTTGTCGCAGCACGACAGTGAAAAATGAAACCGTATCCGTGCTGTCTGGCCCGGTTTGGCACGGAATGGAACAGTTCTGTTTAAAGAACGATTCAGCACGATAGTGGAAAAGCGGCTAATGTTTTCATTGCGGAGTTATGTGTAAACTCTATGATAGCATGTCGATAAAACTCACAGTCAGGGTCATCAATGAGAAAATGTCGGTTAATACTACCATATCTTAAAAGCCATGACTCTAAATCTGAGTCTGTCTCAGTCAGTGTCATCCCACCCACAATTACTGTTTTTGAGATATTTACATTCTCTTTTTCTATGATATCCATGACGTTAAAGTTCTCTCCGATTTGTAATATTTATAGTGAACTCGAATACTGTAATTAGACACTGTTGTTGCAATCTCTCTCCTGGCTGGCTCTCGCCACTTTTTGGTATGTAACCCTCGATACACAAATGTATTATAAGCTTTTAATCAATGGACCAGATGCTCAGAAGTCTAAATTCCTCTAAAGAGAGAGAAGATACAACAACAGTGAAGGACTCGGACACAGAGGTAAGAAAAATAAAAGATTGTATTGTAAAATGTTCACAGAAATATAAAAAAATAAATAAATAAAAATAAATAAAACTAAATTGTTACGTCCCGACCAGTCTAGGGTTGGTGGGAACAATAACAAGTGTAAAAAAAAACAAAGAGATAAACTCAAATACTCAATTTAAGGTTTTCCCCTTCTCCTGTCCCAACTCACAATAATCACAACGCTGATCAAGTAGTAACAATATTTATTATTTCCTTAGACAACAAAGATAGAAGCATCTCTTCGGAAGGGAATCCAGGCCAAAATAATAAACAAAAAGACAGCTAACTTGCGGGGAAATAATTCTAACTTACCTGCTCAAATAAAAGTACCCCAAATAAAATTACAGCAAACTTCCCTTTCTCCCTTGCTACCAAAAACCAGGAGAAAACGTTTTAAAGTAAATGGCGATTCCCAACCTACCGCTTCTGTTTCTAACCAGAAATAATATATATAAATATTTAATCAGAAAAGCCAATAGATTCAGATTTAACAGAGAGCAGTTTTAGAAAATAATTAAATTGTCAGTAACAGAAATCAATCAATTCACACCAAGTCAACCAACAGTTTGGGGCAGGAGATAGGAGACGCTCGGAACAACAGCAGCGACGACGACGGAGATTTGCGACCTGCACCGAGCAGAAAGATCTCTCCATTGTTCCTCTCCTCCAGCTTATATACGCTCCCACACGCAACACGACTGGACCGCAATCAAGCGCAGCTCTAGAGGGAGGGGGAGAGAGAGAGAAAGAAAGCTGTGCATGCTCCACAGCGCACAACACAACATCAGCTCAAAATGCATAAACAAAACACAAATCTGTATATATATATATATATATATATATATATATATATATATATATATATATATATATATATATATATAATATTTATATATATATATATATATAAAATAAACAAACAAATAATTAATACGTTCTATAACGTAATACACACTTATCTAATGACCTCAATCTTATTTACACTCTCTAATAACACTTCTCTTTCTTCACAGGGTTTTATGGCTATATCACTAATAAGGTAAGTTAATATTATGTTATTTTTCAGTTTTTCTATTGTTAAGGGCTAATATTATATTTTGGTTACTATTATAACAGTAATATAATACTAATATACTAATAACAATACTATATTAAAGGTTTGTAAGTGTAAGTTAATAATACAATATTAAAATTGTATTATTATTTAACATATAATCAAGATTTCCCTTCTTAAACCAATTAACTTCTCTCTATAAAGCTCCAAAAATTGCAACGAATGAACACTCTAAAAGAACAATGTAGAAATAAAATAAAAATGAAAATAAAACATTCACCTAAAACATTTCAAAATGTTCCAAAAGTCCAGTAAAGGTGATAAACTTTCAAAAAGATTCTTTTGCAAAACGACTAGGTTGCAAATTCAGTTCCAGAGATCCAGGACGTTGCAAGTGTGTTGTAAATTTACACTCCTACCAAGACGCTGAATAGGTTTTACTTTGTATCTTTCCAACAGTTGTATCCAAAGAATCCACTTAATGGGAGGCTCACCAGTCCAACTCCACAATTAGACACGCACCGATGGAAGTTGAGACAATTCAAATCCAGAAAAGAGTTCAAACTTCAATTAATTCGAATCCAGAGCAGATCACATCCAGCAACTGACGTCAATAGAACATCTCACCGATGAAAAACCAAAAGAAGATGCACAAACGAACAAAACCAAGCAAAAAAAAAAATAATCCTGGCCAAGGAAATCATTCAAAATCAAAACGAAACAAACAGGAAAACTCCAGGTGGCACTCGTGTGCAGATTGCACTCTCAGAGACAAATCTTGTTTTTTTCTTCTCTCAATCATCTCTGCTTTCCCTTGCGAACACTGAATCACCATAGCAACGGTAAACACAAGCTAACAGACAAGCGAGATTTGTTATTGTTTGGAAAGCTGATCTGCTGCTATAGTGTAAGGCACGATGATGTCATTCTAAAGCACTATTCCCTTGAATGCTGTATAATACTATATTATAAATTATTTATATAAATAAATAATTTTAATGTATATTATTTAATAGAGTATTCTGCCAATGTTTTTTCCTCATATTTCTATTTGCTCTATTGCTGTATACTACCCACTAGTTACACATGCAATTTATAACACACCAGAGCTGTAAGCGGTGTGTAAGCATACAGGGCGGTGTTTGGTTACTGCGCACCACGTTATTGAACGCCAATATCTCTGAGGGAGATTATGTTACCCGATAGCCTATATTACAGAGAGATTTTAAAAATAAAAGGCATTTTAAAAAAAGAAACAACAGGCAAATCGCACCTGTCATCTTGCCAGTGTGTGTCTGTGTGTCGCCCTCGCATGTCACCTGCCGGTTAGCGAGAGAGAGAGCGCCTGCTTAAAGAGCTCAAACTGGCATATAACCAAACACAAGATCATATCGTTATAATTATTCCATTAAC